GGCTAAGCGGAACACTACAATGATATATTATACAGGCAGGCCCCTTTTCAGGTCATAAAGGCCCATGGGGGAATGGGGGGCAAGGGCCACCATTTATCTTGACCATCTGACACTGGAAGTGGAGGTGATGTGGTCAGCATCACACTCCGGCCGGCCGGTACTCATTTGGAAAGCAGGCTGAGTGGACCTGCGAGCCGTCTAGAATGAAATTAGAGCAAGCTACATCACTTGGCCCTACCTGGGATTGAACCCGGAACCTTCCGGTCAGGAATAATATATATATAATATAATACATAATGTTATTGTTATTCCTTACACTTACATTTCACTCCATTCAAAGCATTTTACAGGTAATAGGGACTCCCCTCCACCACTACTAGTGTCCAGCCCCCACCTGGATGATGCGATGGCAGCCTGGGTGGCACGGTGCACCATGTGGTAGCTGTATCCAGAAACTGAGTCAGTGGAATCAAAAGAAGTCACCTAGCATTATTGAATCTCATTTAATTGCAATAGCTTTAATCAACGGTCTTGATTGTTTCCCACTCATGCCTTTTTGGGGGGAGAACATGTCAAAATCCGATGCCCAAATAGGCTCAGATAAAGATCGCAAAATTGCTCAGTTGACACCCCAGATAGGGTTAGGGTTAGCATTCACGCACTACTTAGACAATTTTTAAGCTCAGCGCTGGATTTTGGGGCCCATGTTAGGTTTAGGATGGGTAGTTTTATATTTCTATCTGACTTTTTTTTTTCAGAAGCCCTCTGGGGCCTGGATGACATGGAGCACTGCATGTTGTTTGTATCCCAAACTGTGTCGTTCGGATCAGAAGTTGTAACCAAACGTTGTAGAATCTTATGCATTTGCAAGAGCTTTTATCAACACTCATACTTTTTTGGGGGGGAATATTTTGAAATCTGATGCCCGTAGGACTTCAGATATTGATTGAGAAATGGGTTATCTGACACCCCAGCTATGGTTACGGTTAGCATTCACACACCAAGTAGACCATTTTTTTACGCTCAGCGCTGGATTTTGGGGCCCAAGTCAGCTTTAGGATGAGTGATTTTTTTATCTTATCTTAATTTGTTTAAGGACTTTTTTGTGTCTTGATGGCGCTAAGTCTTGGGCCCCAAAATTCAAACTGACTTGGCCCCTTTTACAGTATGTTGACACTCCAGATAGGGTACATTGAGTTATTCATGGCATCCTTTACACACAACGATTTTGCATCAAGAAAGCCTTTTTAGTTTCGCTTTTCTAGCTTTCTGATTCACCATAGAGAAGTTTACAAGATATATTTCACCCACAGCCACCCATACACTGAATATCTCCAAAACATTTTAAGACTTCTTATCTTAGACATTTCTTTTTTTCTTTTACTCTCCCTGTGAACTAGATAGATTGTTTAGTTTATGTATTGAGCCTATAAATAGTGTTTGTAAATATTATTTTATTTGAACTTCCAATTTCATTGACATGTCCTACAGATTGTATAGCCTGAACATTTGCATTCATTTTTTTATATCTCAAAATTAATGCTAACTCTTTGCAACACGTTCTTCAACACATTATGAGAAATGAAAATCATTATCTTATTATTTTATGTTTGTATTTTTCTGTCATGTGTGTCATGTGTGAGCACTAAAGGTTAAGTGTGTTAAAGACAAATATAATGCTAGTGTGAATTTTCAAAATGTATTGTTTTAATTGTGAAAATCTAGTCTGCAGTTTCTTACTTCATATTACTTTTGTGTGTTATTTGTTGTCATTACCTCATAAAATGTTATTTTTCCACACTCAGTAAATATAACTACAGTGGGCACCTTCAAGACAAATTTGATTTATTTATCTTCCTGTACAGTTTTCTGCTTATACCATCTCATTATCTGATTATATTTTCTTAATTTATCTACACAACACTATAAAATTAATCATTTTTGATTCTTATTTTGTTACAGTTCATTCTGATGTAAGGTCTGCTAAGGGCTGTTCACTTAGCTTCATCAAGTAACCCCAGGACATTAGAGATTATTAGGATAAATAAACTGACATCAAATCCCATAAACAGCAGGAGGAGGAGTCAACAACCCTTGTGCTATAACTGTCACATCACCAAGTAATTTCCAGGTACTGCAAAGCAGACAATGTGGTATTGATGTTGTCTGTATTATTTTAAGTTTTATGATTTTATATATATAATACAAGCTTGAAATTTGAATTGAGTATCAGTACTGTCTAAATTTCAAGGTGACTCTGTTCAATGGAACAGTCAGAAATACAAGCAGTTGGATACTGTTTTGAATCTAATTCTTCCTGCCTGAAGGAAGTGCGATCTACAGCTGTGTATGTGGTGATGTATATTTTTACAGTGGCTGTGGTGATGCTTACAGTGTGTGGAAACCTGGTGGTGATCATCTCTATCTCTCACTTCAAGCAGCTCCACACACCAACTAACTTCCTAATGCTCTCTCTGGCTGTGACAGATTTTCTAGTAGGAGCAGTTGTGATGCCTTTCAGTATAATTTTATTAATAGAGACCTGTTGGTATTTTGGAGAAATGTTTTGCATCATTTATAAAATCTTGTTTTTTTTCCTCATTTCTGTTTCAATTGGTAATGTGGCATACATAGCTATTGACCGCTATTTTGTTGTTTGTTACCCATTACTTTATTCTACTAAAGTCACAGTTAATGTTACAGCTGCTGTCATATTGCTTAATTGGCTGATATCACTACTGTACAATTTGGCCTTCATGTATTTTAATGGAAATATGGGTGGTACTGAAATGCTAAACTTTTGCCTTGGAGACTGTTTGCTCTTCATAACTAAAAGCTGGGTAATCATTGATTTATTATGTACATTGATATTGCCCTGTTCTATAATGATAACACTGTATTTCAAGATTTTTGTAGTTGCTCGAAAGCATGCACATGCAATCAGCTCTGTTACAGAGCAAATGCGTTCAGCAAATGGAGGGAATAATAAAATTTCCACAAAATCTGAAAGGAAAGCTGCAAAAACATTAGGAATATTAGTGTTTGCATTTCTGTTTTGTGTGGTACCATATTATATATGCAGTCTCACTCTTGAAAATGTGGACCAGACCTCATTAGTATTTAGTCTTCTGGGTTGGTTGTTATATTTTAATTCTGCTATAAATCCTATTATTTACGCTTTGTTTTATCCCTGGTTCCAGAAGTCTATTAAGCTGATTGTTACTTTTAAAATATTTAAAATAGAATCCTCCCTTATAAATGTGTTTTCTAAAGAGATTTAAATGTACAGTCTTCTCATTACATACTAAATATAAGAATTCATTTAATGCTGAAATTGTTTATTGTTAAAGTTTTATACTTTTTATTTTATTTTATGTTATACTATATTAAATTTGTATTTAATATGTCTTTAAAAATCACTAAAACATCCTCATCAAAGCAAATATAAATACCTTTTATGAAAAAAAAACTGGAGCATTGCTTTTGTGCTTGGTCCTTATCTTTAATGTCAGAGTAGTTTTTCTCTTTTTAGAAATATAATTAATCCTGCTGGTGGGAATGTTTTAACTGGAGTGTTATTGCTGTTTCACATGATTACTTTTTCTTTTACTTTTACTTTTATTGTAATTTACAAAAAAAAGGAGAACTAGCAGCTGCATCAGTGATTATGTTTGCTCATCGATACCTTTTATTTCAAATGTATATTCTTAATAGCATGGAAGCAACCTAAAACAAATTTTTGTATAACTTTGCTTTGTAAAAAATACATTAAATATGTTTTTCAAATATCTTGTACTTGTGAATTTGTTATGCAATGAAATGAGTCTTTTTGAATTTGTAACCTTTCAAGCATTTTAAAAGCAGGGCTTATCAGTTGCAGGACATTAACTGTCCAGTTCCTACACTGTTTTCTTTAATATCTTTTTTTCACATTTCATCTATTGAAATCAACACCTCACCCTTCAGAATTTAATTATATATTGTAGCATTTTCGGGTTCGGTAAGAGCAGACACAGTGACTCAGTCACTTGTTGAGTGAAAAACAACGCTTTTATTGAATTTCGGCACAGCCAGCCCCACACTCCCACGCCCACAGAGAGAGAGGGAGAATGAGCAGGCGCCAGAGAGACAAGAGAGAGAGAGCAACACACTGGGGTCTATTCGGGTAGTTACACAGCGATAGTGTGGCAGTTGGGTACAAGTATAACAGAGGTGCGAAACCAGGGAACTATTTACAAGAATGCAGGTGATCTTACCAAACTGTACGCCCGTTTTGCAGTGGGTCAGCTGCACTGGTCAGCAGCTTTCCTAGTCCCCGCCCTGACCACTACTACTCCCGTCCTGCCCCTCGCTGCGTACCCCAGCCGGGCGCTCTTCGACTGCAGCACCTGACGAATGCACTAAAACTGCCCCGATCTGAGATGTCTGACGTCCCACTGACATCGAATAGCCCGTCTACGTCCAGCACACAATCCTGCAGCCTCCGCGGGGCCCACTGTGTCAAGGTGGAGCCAGGCGGTCCACCCCCTCAGCCCCCTCCGGCCCAGTGAAATCTGGACCTGGCTGCTCCTCGGGCTCCTCTGCGCTCTCCTGTTCAAGTGCCCCCTCGTGAGCCCTGAAGGGAGCCAGGCAGTCTCGGTGCATGACCACCACCCTACCTGGCTTAATGAACTGGACACGGTAAACCTCCCCCAAGACCTCCAGGACCTCCCCGGGTCCCTCCCAGGCTGGCGCCAGCTTTGGGCTGAGGCCCTTGCGGTGCTGCGGGTTGTAGACCCATACGAGGTCCCCCGGTCTAAAAGGGGTCCCTCTGCAGTGCAAATCGTAGTAGCGCCTCTGCCATACCCCCGCCTGAATCAGGCGGCTTCGGGCGATGCTGCAGTATGTACTCTCAGCATCCGCTGCTGCAGGTCCCACTTGTACGTAATCCAGCCTGGCTGGCTGTGCCAGCACTCCTCCCAGTGTCGAACTGAATACCAAATCCACTAGGGTGTGCAGTTCCTGGCCCAGCATGAGCGAGGCCAGGGTGCACCCAGTGAACTCCTGCACAGCGGTCCAGTGTGCCCAGAGGGCAAGGAGTAAGTGGCGGCCCCAATCCCACTTGGTGCCTCAAGACCAGTGTGGCTAGTTGAGTGGAGAGCGTCCAGTCAAAACACTCCACCAACCCTTCGTTTTAGAGTGCAGTGGGGTGGTCCGTGTTTTCTTAATCCACAGGCAAAGGCACACCTCTGCAAACACCCGGGACTTGAAATTCTGCCCCTGGTTGCTGTGGAGCTCCTCCGGCACCCCCAGCCTGATGAACATTCCCTCCAGCAGGGCATCGGTTACAGTGGATGTGCTCAGATCCATTGCTACCAGGACGTAGCGGCTGCCTGCCTTGGTGCGCGGAAATGGGCCCAGCACATCCACCCCCACCCGCTCCATGGGCGCCCCCACCTAATGTTGTTGGAGGGGCGTCCATGAGCGCCCGGGTGGACCCTTCTGGGCCACGCACCTCTGGCAGGACTGCCCCACGTCCTGGTGACAGATACCCCAATAGAAGTGGCCCTGGAGTCGCTGCAGAGTTTTCGCAGAGCAGAAGTGCCCCACACCCGGCTGGCCATGCACCGCTTGGAGAACTGCCCAGCTGAGTGACCATGGCACCACAAGCTGCCACCTGACCCCGTCGCTGGGGGGTACCCACCACCCTGGCGCAGGACCTCGTCTCTTACCTCCAAGACCTTCCACAGTGTGCAGAGCACATTGTGCAGAGCACATTCACGGACTTTGGGTGAGGGGCGAGCTCCTCCCGGGCGGGCCGGGTCCCCTCCGCCTTCCAGCAGAACACTGGCCTGATGTCAGGGTCTGCTTCCTGCTGCAGCACCATACCTTCCAGGCACACACCAAATGGCCCACTCAAGGACGTGGCTGCAGTGCTCGCTTCCCCCTCACCGCGGGTGGCCTCCTCACACTGCTCCCAGTGGGCGCAATAGTGGGAGTCTGAGAGAAAGTCTGCATTTCGGTGGCGAGACCCCACACGGGGTGTTGTACTCCTGAAGGATCTCAATCCACCTCGCCATTTGACTCTCCGGCTCTTTGAAATTGAGCAGCCAGGTGATATGGCTTTAAGTGGCGGACTGCAGAGACTACAGCCAGCAACTCCCTGAGGGTGAAGCGATAATTTGTCTCGGCCTTGTTGAGCACCAGGCTTAAGTACGCGACGACCCTCTCCCCGTCTGGCCCCTCCTGTGCTAGCACTGCACCCACCCCCGTATCCCTGGCATCTGTATCCAGCACATAGGGCAGCATCGGATCTGGGAAGGCCAGGACGGGGGCCCCCACCAGTGCCTCCCACAGTCCATGTCCCCCACAAAACGCTGCCCCTTCTACGTGAGGCAGTGCAGCTGGGCAGCAAGGCTGGCGAAGTCCCAGATGAACCTCCAGTAATAAGACGGCAACCCCAGGAAACTCCGTCACGGCACGGGGCACCGGCCAGTTGCGCACCACGGTGACCTTCCCTGGGTCTGTGTCCACCCCTCGTAGCCCGTCCACATGCCCCACACGCCGCAACAGCTCACCCACAGCATGCCCTCTCTCACCGTTGCGCTTGGCCCCAGCATTCCCCCCAGCAGCCACACCATCAACCGCCCAGCCGGGAGGCCCGGGAACCAGCTCCGAAACACTCGCCCCGACACCCGTGACCCCAACAGGCCCCGGCAATGCCCGCTGCTGCCACCTCCGCTTCCCGCTCTTGTCAGCCCCGGACACCTCCCGCCCCGCCTGCCGCGAAACTGATTTGTTCCCCCTGCCCCACAAACTCTTGCCTGCCCAAGTCAAGGCAACCACCCACCTGCTACAACCAGTCCAACCCCAGGATACAGTCCTTGCGGATCGGGGCAAGGTAGAAGGAGTGTTTTATCCTCGCAGCCCCAAACTGCACTTTGCCATGGACCATGGACTGCAACTGCCCCCACTTGCCATGGACCTCTGCGCACTGCCCCGTCACAGTCCTCAGGCACTGGCTGGTGGTTTCCAATCCTGGGGGTCCGTCTGCCTCGGTGCCCAGCTGGACACCAGGCCGCAGCAGGGTGATTGTCAAGCTGGTGTCTTTTTGTTGTAGTTGTAATTTTTGTAGGTGCCGGCGGACCGCCATCTCCATCTGAGACCAGCCGTTTGCCCAGGCCGCCATCTGGAACTGGGCCTCAAAACGTTGCCGTGGAACCTCCCCATTATAGAGGCTCGGTCGCACCAGAGCTGGCTGGTGCAGGGGTGGCGGGCTGGACCCTGCTGGTCTGGCATCTCCTTCCGGCCTGGTGTGTTGGCCAGGTCTGACATCTCCTTCCCACCACACGGACAGAGGCGACACAGGAAAAGGTCCCTCCTCTGCTGAGTAGGCCACCGTTGGGTAGCCCTGGTAAGGGCTGTGGCCACTGGTGGTGCTGAGGGGCTGTTCTGGCCCCTGGCGGCTCCTGCTTGTCTCCAAAAGGCCCTTTAGGGGGTTGCTCGGCTGCCAGGGGAACCTCATAAATTCTCATAAGAACCTCATTTCCTCATAAAATATTATTTTTCCACACTCAGTAAATATAACTACAGTGTGCACCTTCGAGACAAATTTTATTTATTCATCCTGCTACACAGTTTTCTGCTTTTATCATATCATTATCTGATTATATTTTCTTATTATCTATACAACACTATAAAATTCATTATTTTGTTACAGTTCATTATGATGTAAGGTCTGCTAAGGGCTGTTCACTTAGCTTCATCAAGTAACCCCAGGACATTAGAGATTATTAGGATAAATAAACTGACATCAAATCCCGTAAGCAGCAGGAGGAGGAGTCAACAACCCTTGTGCTATAACTGTCACACCACCATCAAGGAATTTCCAGGTACTGCAAAGCAGACAAAGTTGCATTGATGTTGTCTGTATTTTTTTAAGTTTTCTAATTCTACATATATAATACAAGCTTGAAATTTGAATTGTGTTGTATCAGTACTGTCTGAATTTCAAGGATTCAAGAATTGACTCTGTTCAATGGAACAGTCAGAAATACAAGCAGTTGAATACTGTTTTGAATCTAATTCTTCCTGCCTGAAGGAAGTGCGATCTACAGCTGTGTATGTGGTGATGTATATTTTTACAGTGGCAGTGGTGATGCTGACAGTGTGTGGAAACCTGGTGGTGATCATCTCTGTCTCTCACTTCAAGCAGCTCCACACACCGACTAACTTCCTAATGCTCTCCCTGGCTGTGGCAGATTTTCTAGTAGGAGCAGTTGTAATGCCTTTCAGTATAATTTTATTAATAGAGACCTGTTGGTATTTTGGAGAAATGTTTTGCATCATTTATAAAATCTTGTATTTTTTCATTATTTCTGTTTCAATTGGTAATGTTGCATGCATAGCTATTGATCGCTATTTTGTTGTGTGTCACCCATTAGTTTATTCTACTAAAATCACAGTTAATGTTACAGCTGCTGTCATATTGCTTAATTGGCTGATATCACTACTGTACAATTTGGCATTCATGTACTTTAATGGAAATATTGATGGTACTGAAATGCTAAACTTTTGCCTTGGAGACTGTTTGCTTTTCATAACTAAAAGTGGTATCATAATTGATTTATTATTTACATTGATATTGCCTTGTTCTATAATGATAACGTTATATTTCAAGATTTTTGTAGTTGCTCGACAGCATGCACGTGCAATCAGCTCTGTTACAGAGCAGATGCGTTCAGCAGATGGAGACAATAATAAAATTTCCACAAAATCTGAAAGGAAAGCTGCAAAAACATTAGGAATATTAGTGATTGTATTTCTTCTCTGTTTGGTACCATATTATATATGCAGTCTCGCTCTTGAAAATGTGGACCGGACCTCACTACTATTTAGTCTTCTAAGTTGGTTGTTATATTTTAATTCTGCTATCAATCCTATTATTTATGCTTTGTTTTATCCCTGGTTCCAGAAGTCAGTTAAGCTGATTGTTACCCTTAAGATATTTAAAATAGAATCCTCCCTGATAAATGTGTTTTCTAAAGACATTTAAATTTACAGTTGTCCCATTACATAAGAAAATTAAAAAAACGAATTAGCTAATTCATTTAAAAAAGAAATCTGGAGGATTGTTTTTATCCTCTGTATGTATCTTTAATGTCAGTATAGATGTCCAGCTCCAAGAAATGTAATAAAACCTGCTGATGGGCTGTTTTGACTGGAGTGTTAATATTTTTGTTGCATGAAGATTTCTTTCTTTTATTTCAATGTCTTCACAGAGGTGTTTATGTTTATTAGAATGAATAAAGGGTGAGCTGCAGGGATGACCTGTGTGACATGGGTACCCTCCAGCAACAGCTGAGTTTTTAATATTATTTTACTCATAAATACTGGATAGACGTTGTTTTTGATTTTTAAAATAGAATCCTCCCTTATAAATGTGTTTTCTAAAGAGATTAAAATGTACAGTCTTTTCATTACATACTAAATAATTCATTTAATGTTGAAATTGTTTATTGTTAAAGTTGTATACTATTTTATTTTATGTTATACAATATTAAATTTGTATTTAATATTTCTTTAAAGATTACTAGAATGTCCTCATCAAAGCAAATTTAAATACCTTTTATGAGAAAAAAAGGTAGCATCACTTTTGTGCTTGGTATTATCCTTAATGTCAGATTAGTTTTTCACTTTTTAGAAGTATTATTAATCCTACTGACAGGAATTTTTTAACTGGAGTGTTATTGCTGTTTCACATGGTTCCTTCTTGTTTTACTTTTACTGTAGAGTATTTACGAAAAAGGAGAACTGACAGCTGAAGCTGTGATTTTGCTTCAGCAATACCTTTTATTTCAAATGTATATTCTTAATAGCATGAAAGCAACCTAAAACACATTTTTACAAAACCTAGCTTTGTAAAAAATACATTAAAATGTTTTTCAAATATCTTGTACTTGTGAATTTGTTATGCAATGAAATTAGTCTTTTTGAAGTTTAAACCTTTACAGCATTTTAAAAGCAGGGCTTATCAGTTGCAGGACACTATTGTCCAGTTTCTACACTGTTTTTCTTTCTTTAATATATTTTTTCACATTTTATCTATTAAATTCAAAACTTCAACCTTAAGAATTTAATTATAAATGAAAAAGCTATTTAATAAAAAATATTTATTTAGAGTCGAAGGTTCATTTATTTGGTTCTGAAGATTTTTTTCTTTTCTTTTTCTGTGATTTTGAACACACTTCTTTTTTTTAGTCTGTTTTGTGGTTTACACTTCAGAGTGGGTCTCTGTGAACTTTGTACACTCTTTTCCTACAGAAAATGCAATATTTTATAAGATGTATATTTAAAACTGGTTTGAATTGGATTAGAATAATACTGGAAGGCCTACTATATAATTCTATATCATATAGGAATGCATTATCAAATGTGTCTGGAAAAATAGTTTATGTGTCAGAAATTATAATGGGACTGTCACAAGCCTACCTCTAACAACATATCCCGTGGGACCTAAGAACATAGAAAATTACAATGGATAGCAAACATACTGTATGTTTTATTTTAACAAAACTCTTCACTATATTGAACAAACCAAACTTACCCTTATACTAATTGTTGTCTTCATAATAAAACTAGTCTGAATTAATGCCTTGTGCGTATGTGTCTCTCAGTCCTCCACAATTTATTTTAGCACAATCCACAAACCACATCTAAACCTTGATGACCTAAAGTATAGTTGCAGATCAGTTAAAATTACTGTCCTGCTGACCTCTCACGGTAATCATTGAACTTTCAGATGCAGTCTAGAGTGCACAAGGTGTCAGTAGGTATACAGTACAGTAGTGTCACAAGCAGACATTTTTTTTCAAAGAATCTGAAGCAGAACTGCATTACAATTTAAAACTGCCAGGTGGCACAGTGAATCTTTAATGTACCACAGTTGTATGTGTTTGTCAGAAATCTCAGTAGAGCGTTTAATATGTATTAACTCATTAGTGCTTTTCTGCAGTAACTGGACTGTATACATACTAGAGGCAATTTCATTAAATATAATAATTACATTGAGACAGTGTGTTGTCACTACCACTCCAAATTAGATATGTCAAAACAATGTATAACACTAAATTTTCATTTTTAAATACATACTGTAAGTCATATAGAATTATTAAGTTGTGTATAAATAAAATATTACATATGGCTATATAAATATTAAAAAGTAATTCGAAAATAAATAGTAATTAGAAAACAACAAATAGTAATATAAACAGTGGTCCTGAGGTGTGTTTCTTTTTGGGGTTCAACCCTCCATGTCCTATAGCCAGAGCCCTGTCCCTTAACAAAGTGGGTTAAACCAAAACTATCCTACCTACAGATGCAGCCATTCAAAATGGGTGGGGTATTACGCGGTATACCCC